GATCTGGTTTCCCTTTGCCAAAGTGAACTTCCCTGGCTTCAATCAAGGGATTTTTTTTTGAAATTTTAGGGTTGTCTCCTGAAATTAATTTTAATAGCTAATATTTAATAAATATGCTATCTGTTGAAAAGAATTATTTAAAACGTTTAATTCTTTAAGATGTCAGACCGTGTAAAATATGACAAAATAATAATTTATAAATTATCAAGGGTTCATGAGGGAGTGGGGAGCAGGGGGGGCGGGGGAAATGAGGAGCTGATGCCGGGGGTTTAAGTGGAGAGAAAATTGTTGGAGAATGATGAGGGTAATGAATGTACAAATGTGCTTTACACAATTAATGTAAGAGGATTGTGATAAGAGTTGTATGAGCCCCTAATAAGATGATTTAAAATAAAAATTTTAAAAAATTAAAAAAGTTTTTTCCTGGGTAGCACAGAAAACCAGTGTTCTAATTTGATCACTTGGCACCACTTGAAACTCAAGCAGTCCTAGGACACCTCATTGTAATTCTCAAGGTCATTACAAGATTTCTTCTCCAAGGAGAAGTTCTTCTCTTGGGGACAACAGAGTAAAACACCACCTGTTTTTCTCTCTGTCTTTTCTTTTAATTGGAAATCATATGCAAAAAAAAGTTAAAAAAAATGTTTCCTACCTAGAAACAGAACTTTATTCCTTAGAAAGGGAAAATATTTTTGGCTTAATCATAACCTTCATTTCATGATATACCCTCATCTTTGGCCCACACATAACCAACCTCTCCTTAGTAAATTAGTTAACTAATCTGTTTTAATGAAGGTATGAGTATCTACAAATCTACTACACAAGGTAAAAGTTAGAAGGGTGGCAATAAATTGTGATATTTTATTTGATTATATCATGCCCTGTATAATATGTTTGGATTTTTTTTTTTTGGCTCAGCATTACATTGTGATTCACTAGAGTTCATTTATTTTGATGAAAGTATAAAATTCCATTGGGTGAATAGAATCTATAGGGAGCTTCAAAAAGCTCGTGCAAAAATGTAATGCAAGAAAAGGGGATTTTCTCACTGTTGGAAGTGCTCTCATATAGATTCACCATTTGGGGACACCTTTCAGGACTGCTATCCACTTCTCCATGGAACGTGACTTCAGAACGGGGAGCAGTGGAGGAACAGACCGGCACATGAACAGCATCTCTCATGTGGGTAAGTTGAGAGTTCCTGGTGTGGACAACGGAGACCAAACCAATGGAGACCCGGACAGAGGATAACTGCCTCTTAATGTTTCCGAGTCTACAAAAGCAGGCCGCCTCATCTCCCTCCAGCTGAGCAGCTAGGAAATTTGAACCATCAACCTTTATTTAGCAACCCAGTGCGGTAGCAACTACACCAAAAGGGCTCAGGGAAGTATAAAGAACCCAGAATCTTTAGCTCCGTGGCTTGGCTGGAATTCACCTAGCATCTCTTCAACCCCTGAGAAGATTGTCCTCTCTACAGTTTGCTACGTGGAGATAATAGAACATCTCTCCTAGGATGCAGAGGTTCCGTGAAGGAGCATTACGTCAGCATACAACAGACAACAGAAAACATCCATCCCCTCCACTCCCCCCATGCTTTCTTTGAACTAGAAAAAAGCCTGTAAAATCGAGGCATCCTCAGTTCAGCTTGAGTGAGCTGGCAAAACCATGACGAGCAGACGTGCTTTCATTGCCCACCCTGTTTGTATATCTCAGAACCACGTCACTCGAAGAGTCTTCAAGGAAGCCCTCGCTCTGGAGGGAAGCAATGGAAGCAGACAGTTGGACAGGTGCATTTTAAATGCCTCTGTAGGTGTATTTCCCACAGAAAACTATTCAAAGCACACCCTGTACACAGAACACAGCTCAGCCCTAGTAAATGGTATCCCAAAGCATACTAATGACATCATCTGAGGAAGGAAAAAAAAGTTTAAAGCAAAACTTTACCGGATTCTGGGACACATTCACTTGGGCCTCATTTCTCAGGTGTGTTGCTTCTAGAAGAAATTTAACAGCATCGAAACTAAAGCCATCAACACCCTTTTCAAGCCAGTACTGGATGATTTCCTAAACAGAAGAAGCAAAAGACTTGGTTACATTCACCACACATTAGTACCCTAATTTTTAATAAAAATGTGTCTGTGAACTCCTTTCTATCTTCCCTGCCTACAAAACAAGGGCAGGATCCAGATAGCACAATAGTGTGACAACCCACTTATACAGTTTCTGGCACCATACATCTTCCTAGGGACAGACAGCTTCATCTTGTGGCCAGTAGCCAGGGCCAAAACCAGTGCCACCCAAGCTCCTGTGATAATTAATTTACTATAGGATAGTAATTGCATTTATGGACTTCTGCATCCCATCTATATTTTTATTGTGGCAAAATAATATTTAAATTTTAGACAGTTTGATCGCATTATTTTCACAATGTTATGCAACTCTCACCATTATCTATTTCCAGCCAAATGCCATCTCCCTAAGCCGCCATTCCCCAGTCTTGTGCCTCCCCGAGCCCTGCAAGCCCGCATCTGCTCTGTCTCTCAGGATTTGCCTTTTTGGGTCATTTCATATAAACAGATTCATCATGTAACATTTTGCACCTGGCTCCTTTCACATAGAACCTCTGTTTCCCACGGCAAAGTCCACTGTGGCAGACATAGTTAGGTTAAAATGTAATGTCATTTATCTCCCTTTTGACCCATTTAAAAGTTGTTTCAGTTTTTGTTTTGTTTTTTAAAGTGAAGGGGAAATACGCATGGATTAAGCCTCCAGGGAACCCCTCTGACCATAGACCAGGGATGTAAACAGCCCAG